TATACCTATTATGGTTGTAGCGCGAATGGGTCGGCTCTACCGGGAAAGGATAACGCTCTCACAGAATACTAGTGTAAAATAGCAGCATAGTGCTGCTGTGTTTCGTATAGCGAGTGTAGAGAACCGAAGACCATTTTTACTGGTAGTAACAAGGCATTACATTTTCTCAGAAGTGATAGCACATCTACATTTTGCATCTTATTCTAAGTTAAGTCCATGGGTTACAACATCTATTTAATATTAAGTGAACTGTGTGTTTAATTGCCACCATACTTCTTTATAATAGACATTCTCCTTTTTATGTTACCGTTAAAACCTACTAAAGTCCTACCTATGGCCTCCCATAGATTGCCTCATAGGCGGATATTTGTCATAGTCGCCACGCTTGGCAAGCGGGTCGGCATCCGCAGTTTTATTTTTATCTTTGTTGGGAAGACGCTGCTGCCCATCTCCTGAACTGAATCACTCTGTCGCCACTGACGACATCCGGGGGGTTGGGGTAGTTGATATTCTTACACCGCCACTAAATGGTAGGACTTTTTATGTAATAACTAAGAATTTCAAATTTCAAAATAAAATATTTGTTATGTATTAAGAAGTAACTTAAAACTGAATACTCTATATAGTTATCTTACTACTCTAACTCAAGATCAATGTAGTAAAACGTTTGAATTCCGTCATAAAGAATAGATACGATTGTGAATTATATTTCATGTCAATTGCTTTTCAAGCAACAGCTTTACTGTACTTTCACTAACCTGTTATTGTTTGAGAGGGTTTTAGATTATTGCAGAATCTGCCACGCTAACCTAAAGAGTTCACACGATATACACAAGTTCACTGTTGAGCATGGGCCTCCCCCATAAATTATCGCGTAGTGAAAATATATTTTTTTTGGATAGGACGACACGGGGGTTTGCACTCGTTTGCGAATCAAAATGCAGATGCGTTGTCAGCCTTGAGGACAAAGATGGAATGCCTCTTTTTCCAGTAAAAAAGGGTCTCCGGTTCTCTACACTCACTATACGAAACACATCAGCATTAAGCTGCTATTTGACGCAAGTATTCTGTGAGAGCGTGGTCCTTCCCCAGTCGAGCCGACCCATTCGTGCAACAACTATACAATTAATATAGCAGCAGCATGGCTCTACCACATAGAAAAAGTGTCGTTAAAGTGTTTTAACATTTTAACGTTATACGTCCACGTATCGTATTACAGCTATACGTTAAGTCGGACATGGGAAGGAGGTTTATGTTTTCTCGTATATCTACGACCATATTTACATTCTGCTCGGTTGATGCTATACTTTGGTAATTTTGTTGTTTTTCCGTGTAGATGAAATCTAAGGGAAGCCATAACCCTATCTCGGCTGATGAGTGTTAAAAGGTTTATCATAGAAATATTTAACTTATTGCATTCAAGGTGTTATGGGTGAATATATATCAATGTTTCTGCCATACTTGGTAGAAATATGCTGCTGTGTTACGGCTGTAGCGGAAATGGGTCGGCTCGAGCAGGGAAGAACAATACTCGCACAGAATATCAGTGTCAAATAGCAGCATGTTGTTGCTATGCCGTGTAACAAAACAATTTATCGTAGTCCTCAGGGGTAACAACGCGTCTGAATTTTATCGACGAAAAAATTTGTGTTAATGGGTCACAGATTTCATTTTCCATCGGGTGGATGTTACCATTTCTTCCATAAAAGAAATACATTTAAATACTCCTCATGCGGTGCACTACCGGAGACAGAGACATGGCAACATCTCATAATAATTATCATTATTACAAGCTATCAAAAGTCTACAGCTTCCTCCATAGATTGCTTAATAAGAGACTTGCAATAGCAGGCACGCTTGGCAGGCGGGTTGGCTAATGAAATCCGTTTTTTGCCGTACAGGATGCACGGTTCTCGGAGATGTGCAGATCAATTAACTAATATCTAATTGATATCTCGGTGAGGGCCTCTACCGTCATTAGCGTCCCATTGTTCTTATCTAGTGTCATTGTCTATACTTCCTCAGCGTGTGCGTCGGCTTATCAGTGCTATTGTATTATACTTCTTTGTTCCTATCTACAATGCTAATCTGAATCATCAATAAAACACATTACCTAATTTTGTTACAATTTTTATTTACAAAATACAAAATCTTATTACTTATTATCTATGAAATAGAGTAAATATATAAAAATAGCGAAAATACTCAATCCACTAAAATATCGCTGTATAATGTGTTCCCTGTAAATATACTCGTAAAACTATGAATAGAACATCCCTGAAACTTATATTATAGCAAATACATTAAGCAATATTCGCCACAAACTGAAGTCCACTCATTCTGAATCATTTACATTAAAAACTCTAGATGATATCGTACAGGTGATCATCCATATGAATCAAAATATTGACCGACGTCATTCGTATCGATATATAAAGCTAGCCAATGTGACCCTGGTTTATCATCTGTATCCAAATTGCATATTATATACGTTGGTACGTGGGTATACATGGGCAGTCTATTAGCAGCATAAACATTATTTTCTAGACTGGGGTGAATCTTTTCAGATGTTGTTGTACATCTAGTGTATCCATGATATTACTGCTATTAGTAGATTATTACAGTACCAATCTACTCAATGACTAACATAGGAATGATCAATCAAATCAATCAATCAATCAGCTATACAACCACGTGCCACGTGCCTGGCAGTGTAGGAAAACATCGTGAGGAAACCTGTATGTCTGAGATAATTTTGAAGGCATGTGAAGTTCTCGAACATGCATTGAGGCAGCGCGACGGAAATTTCCCAGCCATAAATACAAAGACAATAGCAGAAAGTGAAAAAGTTAAAAAATAATTTTTTAACAATGACAGTCATTATTTGATAATTAGTGAATGTGATTATGTTTACTTAAATAACAGGAAGATAAGAGCAGAAGGAAGAGATGGGATGATTGATGAGCATTTTTATGTGAAGTTTGTTGGAACAAACATATTTTTAGTCACGTGTAAATACTTTTAATTTTTTTGATCAAAATGACACAAAATCTAAAAAATATTAGATACGTCATCAACAAGGACGGATTTTACATTACATATCCTCATAAACATTTTCAATGTAGAGAAATGGCTATTCTAGACGTAAAATTATCTAATAAAAATTATGCGTTTATCGATCATTATTTGTTTCGCCCAAGTTATCCTTTCAATTATTTGTCGCCAAAAGACAAAAAAACTGTTCGTTATTGCGAAACACACGTGCACGCCATTCCATATTTTGACGTAACCTAAGAATTAAAATGTGCCTACAAACAAGAGAACATCATTCCCATATTAAATTGGTGCATTAGAAATTTGTGCAAAGACGAAGTGATCGCATACAAAGGTGGTTCAGCAGAAAAACAATTTTTAAAAATGTTGAAAACGAACGATAGAACTTTAATATTGAAGAATACAAATGTCCAAAATACATTGATTTGGTAAATGTCATAAATTTAAACAAACGTTATGTGTGTAATAATCATATATTTGCACAAAATAATCACAAAATTTTACATTGTTCTTGTGATGAAGTGTGGGTTTTTTATAAGTGGTTATTGCTTGAAAATAAAATTTTAAATTAATCGTGAATTTTGTTTGATTTTCCAAAAAACATTAGTTATAGTACACATCATCATCACAGCCCTTCACAAGTCCACTGCTGAATATAGGCCTCCCCCAAGTAATGCCACAAAGCACGGTCTGAGCCACCTGCATCCATCGACTTCCTGCTACGGTTCCATCTAGTGGGGGTCGCCCTACACTACCCTACCGGTACTGCCTCTCGAGAACCTTTCTTCCCCATCTTATCGGTTCTTCAGCTATATGCCGGCCCATTGCCACTTCAGCTTACTCCTATGTCGGTCACTCTGGTCACGCAGAGAAACCAGCCTCTCCAAGTCGGAGCGACCTTGAGCGTCCTCATACGGCCAGCGGGTTATAGTACACAATATGTATTAATTGTTTACACAATATGTATTAATTGTTTACACCAACACTTTCATTTTTTATTTCACCTCTTAGAACTTTAGACGTGTGTAATGTTTCACTTTATACATCCATTTACTGCTATTGTGGCAGGACCAAGTGGATGTGGGAAGTCAAATTTTGTAACAAATTTCATAAAATCAGTTACAGAAATATGTAATTGTGATTTTAATCAGATCACATGGTGCTTTGATGAAATGCAACCTTTATATAATTTACCAAATGTTAACTATCATCAAGGAATTCCAAATCTTAATACGTTTGATGGTGAAAACCCACATTTTGTTATTATTGATGATCTAATCTTAGACGAAATAAAAACTTTTATGTGTTTTTATTCCGTCTGATGATTTAATGAGAGAGTCCGATGTAACTTTAAACTCAAACAGTGTTTTGTATTACATTAAATAGAAGATTTATAAATAAATAAAAAATAATATATTGCATACAATTGAGGACCTTGCAGCAAAAGAGGGGCAGATCCAAATTTTAACCGTTACCTTTTTTTTCACCTACATTTTAAACAAAAAAATTAGCTATGGTTTGGTGCATTTAGGAGGCAAATCCGACGACAAACAAGCGCGCTGTAAAAAAAAATTTGGATCTGCTACCTTCTTCTGTTTGGTGCAAGAAGGGAGCAGGTCCGGACCTGCCTCCTTCTTGCAACAAATGAAATTATTACATCATTTGTAAACAAGTCAGTGCACGTTTTGTGCTCGGCCCGAAAGGACATGCGTATTATTCTTTTTAATAATTGTTTTAAGTTTGATACGTTAAGTGTGTATTAAAATGAGTGACACTGAACCGTTTAGTAGCGGCTCGTCAGATATTTACCAGCCGCCTGTCTACGAATCATGTTCAACCAGTTCAGATGATGATGGAAGCGATGTTGGTTTGTTGACATTTCAAAACCAAACTAAGGCGAACGATAAAGGTATGAATATTTTGGATGAATTTAATACAGATAATCCATGCCCATCGACGAGTGGCATAGCGCCGAAAAAAGAAAATCCGCGAATCCATCACAATGGAAACGGAATGTAATAAAGAAGTCTATTGCTACTGGAAAGAGCTATTTAAACTATAAAGGCCGTGAAATAGGCGAAAGAAAAACTGGACCGGATTGTTGTTGTAAGAAGTATAAGTGTTTTGTTCAAATTAATGAAGAAGATAGGAAACTAATATTGGAAAATTTTAATAAATTGGAAGAAACCTATGTGCAAAACGTATACTTAGGCGGTTTAATTAAAACTGAGAATGTTGAAAGGGAAAGATCTAAAACTGGTACGGGGAAGAAACGGAGTTGTTCATACAAATATTATATTAAATTAGGAAATAGAAATATACAAATTTGCAGAAATGGCTTTGCATCTATCCATGGAATATCCAAAAAGCGTGTAGACAATGTTGCTAAAGAGTATCGGGATCCTACTGTAACTACACCAGCTCAGTCTAGTCGTGAAAAACATCAAAATAGACCAAATCGTATTCCAAGTGAATGAGTTTCTAAAGTTGACTCTCATATTAGAAGTTTCCCACGTCGCGAGTCACACTACAGTAGAAATAAAAGCTCACGTTATTATCTGTCTCCAGAGTTGAACATTAAAAGGATGTACGAGTTATATTTGAAAAAGCATGAGCTTGGTCTTGAAGCATCTGCAAAGCCTATAGTATCATTTGATTTGACACTTGCAAGAAGTGCGACATGCTGAGTAACAAACTAAAAGATAGGACATTGGATAGCGATGAAACCCAACAAATACAGATAGAGAAGAGTCTTCATCAAGCCAAGGCCGACACTTTTTTTGTTGATTTAAAAGAGAAGAGTCAACTTGCTCTTAATAATGAAGAATGCGAAGTATTAACATTTGATTATCAGCAGAATATGCCATTACCTAAAATTCCAGCACGTAAAGCATTTCATAAACGTCAACTTTGGGCATATAATTTTTGTATTCATTCAGCAAAAACAGGGATTGCTCACTTTTATTTATATGACGAAACCATAGGCCGAAAATTACCAAACGAAGGCATATCTTTTATAAATCACTACATAAATGACATTTTACCAAGCACAGTTAAAGCACTGTATTTATTTTCTGATAACGCAGCAGCACAAAATAAGAACTCGACTTTAGTTCAGTATCTATATACGCTTATGCGGTGTTCATCTTTTGAGAACCAGGACACAGCTTCTTACCGTGTGATCGGTGTTTCGGCGTAATAGAAAAGTTTAATAGAAGGAAAGATTACATATTTACGACTTCTGAATATGCCGATTGTATTACGCAAGCATCTAAAAAAATTAAAGTTGTAAATGCAAGTCAAAATATGATACTTAACTTCAGCCAACATTATGAGAGTCATTTCAAGAAAGTAATAACAAATACAGAGAAGATTCGATTCAAAATATCTCAATATCGTATTTTTGAATATAGTAAAGACCACGTTGAAACTATTGCAGTCAGTGTTACAACGGGAACGCCACTATTTGATTATTTTCCTATAATGAGAAATGCTCAAGCCCAACTATTAGTTCTGCTTCAGAAACCGCTGTATGATCGTGCATTGCCGTTGAAAAAGGCTAAATATGTTATGCAGTTGGTAAAGAACTATGTTCCACCAAATAAACTATATTTCTACAGGGCCCTTAAAAGTAAAGCTGTCGGACCAACAGATGATATTTCTAGCGAAGACGACGATGATCAAGCTGAAGTTAACCTTTAATTTTTTTTTGTTCAGCACCCATTCGTTTTTGTATTTCTTTTGATTGTTTAATTCTTTGTGGACTGATTACTAATTCTTGAAATAAAAAATAACCGTGTTTACCTTTTTTATTATCCTTAATACAAAATAGGGTAGTATTTTTCTTCAATCTTGGTGCAAAACGGAGGCAGATCCAAACTTTAAAAAATCGTAGTAATTCTATTACTTCTTCAATTGCTTTAAATCTTGAATAAAATGTGTATATATGTTCATATTATATAATACCATATAACGGTAAGACATAAGTACATCAATCAATTTTTAAAAACCTTTTTTTTAAATACCCAACAGTTTTGAAATTTGGACTTGCCTCCCTTTAGCTGCAAGGTCCTCAATTTGTTTTATTTAATTTTATAACGATTCACATAGTTACATACACACAAAATTCATTACACATAACACATAAAATCTAACACACAACACATATTATAACCTTGACTACTATAGTCTACAGGAACATTTCTGTTTTTATCTATCTCAATAATATTATCAAACTCCGCATAAACTATACAGTTAATTGTCTTTATTAGTGAGGATTCAAATCGTACTTCTAATCTTACACTATCATACTTTATGAGATTACAATGATGAGTTGGCTGATAAATCAGGAGTTAAGTCGAATGCTTAATAGACAGTTACCTTTGGCATACTGTTCACAAGAGATTCCATTTCCTTCACTAAGAAAGTGAATACCAGTTCCTGATAATAGAGTATGATATGCCGATGTAAATATACTATTATTAAAAGATGGTTGTAAAGCTTTTGAAGGTATTTGTTGACTATCAATATATAAGCTGAAAGAATTAATACCATAGTTTTCAAAATTAAATGGATTTTTAGTAAGGAAACCATTAAATGCATAATTGTTCACAAATCCAATTATACATCTTTTGGGTAACAGTCCTAAAAATATATTATCAAGAGTTTTTCCTTGAACACCCGATGAAATTGTTAAAACTTTTACTTCAGCTCGAGATATTTAGCAGTGGTAGAAGCTAAAACCTTTTGATGTGCGAATAATTACACTTGGATTAATTCGTGCTCGTCGAATAATAAGAGTTGCGTCCGTAATGCATACTTTGTTATTTTTTTAATTTCTTCAGTCTTTTTATAATTTTTGCAGGATACTTCGCTTTTTTAATAACTGGTTGAGTATCTTTTTTCAGTTTAGGCTTTGATTTAATAGAAGGGCTTTCTAAATCGAGGCTTCCTTTACGAACATCATTTATGTTACAATCAGTAGAATTTGATTTAATCTCACACGATTTTGAAAAATTATTTGTTTGTATGCAGCGTTTTTCTGAAATACAAAGAAATCAAACATTTTATTTATTTTAAGACATTGTGCCTTTATTGTAAGATACCTTAGACGGTTTACAGTAGGCGGAATTTATGCCTTACTAAGGAGATATAGAGAAAAATATAATATTTTACATAATTACACTTATTTAATGTTGAAAGATATAAAGTATTTTAGCCAATTACTCTGGATAATGTCTTTCGTATTCATTTTTGGAGGGAAAAAATGTTAAATAATCTAAATTCGAATAATAATGATAACGTACTTCTGACCGTGTTATAATTACATTAATCTAATAAACGCTGGTTCGAATCCCACACAGAAAGCGTTATACATACATACACTTTGACTAGTATTTTTGTAGATATTAAGAATATACTCTAGGTAGTAGTATTCATCATCATCATTACAGCCCTTCACAAGTCCACTGCTGAACATAGGCCTCCCCCAAGTAATGCCACAAAGCACGGTCCTGAGCCACCTGTATCCATCGACTTCCTGCATGTCTTACCAGGTCGTCACTCCATCTAGTGGGGGGTCGCCCTACACTACGCCTACCGGTACGAGGCTGCCACTCGAGAACCTTTCTTCCCGTATGCATAATTTTTAGAGTTTTAATTTAATTGCTGGGTCAATTAAAACTCTCTTGATCGAACCAATTTAACACTCATTTCAACACCATTAATTAAAAATTTATCTTGGTTGTAAATGTAACCGTGAAGATTACCAATCATTTCTATTTCCTTACTGAAAGTAATATTAATAGTAATAGTTAAACTAATCAATTCCTGTCTTTTAACAAATCCTATGTGTTTACCATCTGTGGAATCCATTTTTCCTGCTGTATCCTTATACCAAAGACTACAAGTAAGATGAGATTGTTTAGCAGCAGGAGCATAGTTTAAAAGGGTTTCCATTTTTTGTATGCTCGATATTCAAAGGTATTATTAGGTGGTGATACAAGTTTTTGGTTTAAATAAACATCAAGTTGACTAAAAAGTTACTGCATCCAATTATTTAAAGGTGCTACTATTGTAGTAGATATCAAGTTAGTTGAATCTTGATTTAATACTTTTGCCTTTATGTAGAGTAATGTATGAGACAAATCTATGTATGTATGTCATCGCCTGTCCCAGGAACTTGAAACTTGATAGGTCCATCATTACCAAGAGATGAAATTGGTTTATAAGGAATCCACAATCCATTTTCAATGCTAGTTTGTGTAGACGGTAGTGCAAACAAATCCAATTCGGACTTAACGCACTCGCAAGAATGATTATGAAAGAAAGACATATTTAATTTGAAAATATATCTTTGATATTTTTTGGTTTTAGACCAAGTTTTTTCGCAGCTTTCACTTTAGCAGTTAATGGTGGATTGAACGATGTCAATCGTTTTCTTTTAGTCTTATACCCAGATCCTGTCATGTTAAATTGATCAATTTTCTCATCAGCCTTTCGTTTTAAATTCGTACTAACTTGCTTTAGACGATCTTTTATTGAGGCTTCCATAGGACGCGCTTGAACCATATCCGATAAAAGTCCTACTCCAGCGGTTAATGCCTCCTTACCAATCACTCGAGCACCACTTGAAAGTAAAGGTAAAACTAATCTAAATAACCCCCTTAAGAAGCTCCCAATACCATGACCGCGTTGGTATGGTGAAACCTTATAAATTACTCGAAATTCTGACCCAGCTTGATGTGTATAATAATTTTAATATGGACATTTATGATGATCACGAAGAGAAATCACTATTATAATTTTCGGAAATGTAGTTTAATACACATGGTTCTAAATAGGAATGATATTTTTTGTCCTGTGCTCGATCTTATAACTATTTCCAGAGTATCGAACTCTCTTCGCATAACAGGTATGTAGTGAGGTTGAGAGAAAACGTGAATTTTATTTGCACCATAAATGTATTTTGTAGGATCTAATGAAATGACTCTTAGTAAAGGAGTCATAACATCACCCACAATCTGAGGATCGATAATGTCACAATATAGATATAGTTGAGATGGTAACCCTAAGTGTAAATTAGCAGGACACTTTCCAAAAATTTCTCTCTAGGAGATTTTTATTTAGTTCATAACCCAGTTGTAAACTTAATTTGGGTGATAATGGGTCCGATTGCGTTTCTTTGGCGGACTTAAATAATGCCGAATAATAGACTTAAATTAGTCTAAAATTCGTACTAATATTATTGCTATTGCGTTTGTTAATTAATTATGTCCACAACACTATTTATGTCCAATTCGGACTTAAATTATGTCTACGCATGTCTTTTGCTATTCCGTTTCTGACAATTTGACAGTTCGTTGGCTTTAAATGAACTTATACGTCTGGGAAGTGTTATTCTTTAAGTTCGCACTTATTTAGTCCGTACTTAAGCTAAGTTTCTTCAGAAAATAGTGAAAAATGTTTCCTTATGGCTGGGCTATCATTCAAAGAAGACACAATAAAGAACGCCAACGGTATGAGTACGAAATTTATATTATAGAAACTGCTTTTCTTGCATACGGTAGGTATAAGCATAACATAACCTAACTTTTTTCGTTGTAGGGCTGCGAGAAGGATAGCGCATCGCCATATTCGCGACCATTCCAACCCTTTCGACGTGCCTGCAGAGGTTTTTACCAAATTATACAGGCTCTCCAAAAGAACTGCGCATTTTTTAGTGGAGTGTCTTCACCAGAATTTAAATCGACAAAGGCAGCACGGAATTCCTGTGCATATCAAAGTTTTGGCTTCACTCCATTTCTTTGGACATGGCGGCTACCAAACAACGGTTGGGCAGGGGCAGTATTTAGGTTTAAGTCAGCCATCTGTAAGCAAATGCTTACAAGAAGTTGCTGATGCAATTATAACTGTTTTATTGAACGGTATGGTGCTATTTCCAGAGACTGAAGAGGAAAGGGCAGAAAATAAACAGAGGTTTTTACAGATAGCTGGGTTTCCTTCAGTCTTGGGTTTGATAGACTGTAGTCAAATCTCCATTGTTCGCCCAAAAGACACAGCACTTGTGCCAGCAAGATTATTTTTTAATCGCAAAGGCTTTTATAGTCTTAATTGCCAATTTGTATGTAATGCAAAGATGGAAATAATTCATTTCAATGCCACTTTTCCTGGATCAACACATGATGCAGCGGTCTGGCAAGGATCCAGTTTGAGCTAATTATTGGAAACTAATTATGTTAACGGAGTTTCAGCTGGTGAATGGCTTCTAGGAGACTCTGGATATGCCCAACTGCCTTGGCTGATGACCCCGTATGCTGATGCGGATGAAAATACACCTGAGGCTAGATATAATTTAGCGCATACCAAAACGAGGGTTCTTATTGAAAAATGTTTTGGAGTGATGAAAACAAGATTTAGATGCATTCACAAGCACAGGACGTTGCATTATGACCCCGTGAAGGCATCTAAAATAATAGCAGCTGTAGTTGTTCTCCATAACGTGGCAATTAAGAGAAATGAACCTTTACCAGATGAATTGGAACTCGAAGACAGATTGCGGCCAGCAGATGATCCTCCCAGGGATATGAATTTTTTAAATGTGGCAAGAAATATTCGAAATAACATCACAAGACAATACTTTGCATGATGTGTTTTAATTAAAGATTTAAATTAAAGAATTAATAATAAAACTACTAAATATA